TGATTTGATTTTTTTTTTCCCCTCCCAACCATTTAATTTCAACAGCTTATCTGCCAGTTCTTCTGCCAACAGGATGCCTCTTTTTAAAGATCTCTGTAGATAAGCGATGCACTCTGTAAATAAGCTTTCCAGCATCCAAACTGAGACGGCAGGGTCCTTACTCATTAAAGCATGTAATTCCTAATTCAGAATTTTAGGTCCCAGAGGGACCTCAGGTCCCAGAATCTGGGACCTCTACCTACTTTTATTTTTATGTCCACAGCAGTGTTTCTGAAATAAATATTCAGTGAAGACGCATGATAGACCATAGCAGGTTTCTAAAGAAAATTAAATACAATGATTCTGCAAACTCATTGTAATTTATATTATTTTGGCCACATTTAATTTGTTGTTTTGTTGTTGGTTTTTGTGGTTTTTTTTCGGTTGTCCCCCCCCCCCCCCGCCCTCTGAAAGAACAATAATTGCGAGAAGATGAAGTCATTAACCATTACACCTTTTGGTCACTTTAAGAGGATCCATCTACACACAATATTGGGTAATGAGGTTTCTGTGATGAGTTTGCAATTTCATATAGCCTCAAAGTACTGCTCTAACTCCAAGAATTGTGAAATTTTTGTAGGAGACGACTGAATTTCAATACAGAATCAGAACTGGCACGTAGTTCAACAAAGAGTTAAGGGTTCCATAAACAGTTTTACTTCCTTTCCACTACTTATATCAAAATTTAGGTCAATAGACTTATAAATGGTGTGTATGGGTCATTTTTGCTCTGCCAAAAAGATGAGAGGCTAATTTTAAAAGGAAGCAAAAATATCTAAAGCAAGGTTAGAATGTAGTGGGTTTTTTTTACTGTGAAGATTTTTAAATGGAATTGTAAAAGAAATTTATGTTTGATGATTGCTAAAATTACACTTTATGGGAAAACAGTTTTTATTTTGGTAGCATATTACCAAAATCAGGCAATATTTTAACTTAAGCATCCTTCAAAAAAAAAAAAAAACCCCACAAAACTAATTTGGCCTTTTAAAATTAATATTTTGTTTGATATTATGAAAAAATTCTAATATTTATTAGAAATATTTAATTATGACAGGCATTAGATAACATTTATGGTAGTAGGCTGAATCTACTACACTCAGTTGCTTATGATTAATAACATTCCAGTTTAATAATATCCCTTATGAACAGGTAGAAAACATACTGACAGAGGTTGGCAAGCAGTATCTCCACTGTAAAGATGGAGAACCAAACACAAAAAATGGGATTTACTTCACTCAACTTTTAGTCTTCAGTAACATCTAAGCTATACCTTTAAAGTCCCACCAAAAAAATCAGTCTCTAAGTGAGATGAATCAGCTTGTCAATACCTAAATCTGTCCATTAACCACACAGGAAGGTTAGACCAAAACCTTCAGTTACTATCATCTGCACTAAAAAAAATTAAATGAAACAATCACATAGCAAGGGAAGTAATTTGCCAACAAATAGACCCCTGTATCTTCCGACTTACCTTTTCTTAAGCCTTTTCATTGGCGCAAAAACCACTAATAATGGATTCTATTTCACTCAAAATATACTTTCAAGAACCGTTAAAGACAAATTAGGAACTATAACTTACAACAAAAAAGGAAATCAAAATCTCACACTTAAACCTGTATCTTTAAAATACTTTGCAACAGAAAAAAGTAATATTGTTTTAATTACCCATATCTGGGATCCAAAGCAATAGCCCTCGGATGTTCCATAGCTCCTGCTATTAACGTTGTTCTCAAAGTGCCATCTAGTTTTGCTACTTCAATTTGGTCCAAATTGCTGTCTATCCAGTATATGTTTCCTGCAATCCAATCTACAGTAAGACCTTCAGGTGTGGCCAGGCCATGTTGTACTACGACCTCAATGGCACTAACACCTTAAAGAAAAGAAAGGGGAGGGAAGGAAGAAAGAGAGTTTTAAAGAACTAATACAGAGTCTCATATAGTGAACACGGCCATACAAGTCTATCATATGCTCTTGGAGTGCATTCTTGATTAATCTAACAGATGATAATACTTTACTCATGACATTTTTTCTTTACAAATGCCATAGACTACTGTAAATAAGAACACTTTTGGCAATATATAAATAAACTTCATTCCACAGCAATAGAAATTTTTAGTTCTCCGATGCTTTAGTAAGTAAAGCTCTGAAACTTTCAATAAAGGTCAGAGATCACATGCAGAGTGAGACAGGGGATGTGCATGTGCCCTATTACCAGGGACCTCTTTTGCACCATCTGTGAAGGTCACGCTCATGCTTCACCTCCCAGTGACTAGACATACTAGACAAAACTCTACGCTACGCGGCTCTATTTCAGTTCTTTCTCAATCAGAAAACTGAAAAATTGTGATGATGACAGAAATGGCAGGGAGATCCCTGTTTGTACTACACATTTTGAAAAGCTGTGCAATAAATAGCCTTACTTTGTTCCTTTAAATTCACATGCACAATTCATACTGTCACTGTCTAAAAATAGCTGTTCCTCCACACCGTCTGGAGGGTCTCAAAATTCTTCACACCAAGGGCAACTACAGAAGCATTCTGTTAGCCCTCAGGACTTCCAGGAAGGCACAGTGCTTTTTGCAGTTGCAAGTTAGTTCTTGACAGCTGCAACACTGAGGGAGTAAATTTTTTTTTTTTTTTTTTTTTTTTTAATCCATCACAGAAGTCACTTGGGTTCTCGTACAGTGTGATTATAATACAGCGCAACAACAACAGACTACCTTACTGGTCTCATACAAACACCGCAAACATTAATGAAAAGTAGCAAGTCTTTGGCTGCCTTTACGCAGTTAGCATTGTAACATATTTCTTTCCTGGTCTGGATCTGTGGATATAAAAATACCCACAAATACCATCTACTAAGGAGAAGAGGAAAAACCCCAAAAACAACAACAACAAAAAAAATGTGTCAGAGAACATGCACATGAACGTATAGGTGAACTTTTACAAAAGCAAGTTAAACATGCTTATACCTGTTAGCTCATGCAGGAATGAAAGCACCTGAGTATACACTTCAGCAAAGAACGTTTTGTAGAAACACTTTTGTATATTTTATGAAATTATATTGAGTTACAGGTCATAATTATGTCACCAGGGCAAAGAACAAGTCTTTCTGAATGCAATACAATTTTGAAGCAAAGTCTTTCACTTAGTGAAAGCAGATAATTTAATGAGACGTCTTATAAATTCTTATACTTCCTCAATAAGGTGAAGGTAAATTACAAAAAATGAAAAAAAAAAAAGTAATCAATACTGCACTCATTGGACCAGGAAGAAATAACAGCCCTTTTCATTCGTCATTTTCTTCCCCCTATAGCCGATTGCAAAAGGGAACTTTCATAACAAAAAAGTCTTTTTCTATCTCTACATCAAGCACAATCTAAATACACACATTTTTAAAGGCAGAATACCATCCTAAATTCCATTTATATGAATGGTAGCTCAGTCACAATTTATCTGGTCCAACATCCTGTAACTGCAGTTGTTCTTACTGTTCTGAAATTAACAATTAAATTCATACCTCCAGTATCAGAGAGCTTGCCTCTGTAAATTTTGTCCTCTACCACATCAGTCCAGTACAGTAAACTCTGACTGAAATGAAAATCGAGTGCTATTGTATTTCTTAAACCAGGAACTAAGAGGCTGTAGTCACGTTTGTGAAGATCGATTTTTCTGATCTCATGTCGAATAGAAAAAATTATGAAAGCCTCAAATGGATCTGGAAGCAGAAGATTATACATTTCAAAAGAATAATAAAGAAGATATTGTTACATATTGATATAAATGACAAGTGGAATAAGAACAACAGAATACTTTATCAGGAGAAACAGATGATTAAAACAATTCATCTTCTGATAAGGAGTCTTTCGAATACATTTTTAGTCCCACAGACTTCTCATTTCTCCCTTCTGGCATTATCTTTGATCACTACTAGAGATATTAAACATTAAATTCTGGAATATCCAATTCAACTACTGAACTCTGTTTTGTAGCTCTACCACAAGGGGTCCGTAATTAGAGCTTTAAAAAGTCACATGGTATCAAAATCAGAATCTGTTTTTTCAAAACTTTCAGAAAAAAAATAATCCATTAAGTTATACATTGTTTCAAATGCCAGTTAGTCAAAATAATTTACTAAAATATATATAATATACCTTTTAAATATATATAATGTACTTAGTGTTTTTAATTGAATTCCTTAAAAAAAAAAATCCCATACCTTAAACTAGCAAACAAGGAAATGAACATTTTATATGCTTATTGATACACTCCATCACAAATCCAACTACCACTGAAATTCTCTTTCCTTTGGTCTTCAATTAATGCTAGATCATCTGTGCCTGTGAGCTTACATCAAATTATACATAAATATCTGTAAACGCTCTCTGCATAGGTCAACTATACTATAAAACTGATTATCATAGTTCTTACATACTTTAGATTAGGAAAAAAACAATTCAAACAAGTAGCTGTGTTAATAAAACAAACAAGAAATACAAAACTTGGATTCGCTAAACTGTTGAATCAACTCCATATATCCAATTTAATACAGAACGTTTTTCAGTTTTTCCCCTGTGTGCCTCCCCCTCCCCCCCAGTTCTTTCTCCTCGAGTGAAACACAGCTGATACCAGGGGTTTTGTTTTCCATACAATTAAACCTCCATTTTATATAAAAGACAGATTATTGGCAGTTTATGGCAATAGGCAACACTGCATTGTTCATCTAAAATATTCAAAGAAAACGTCACACAAGTTATCATCAAGTAGCAAGATGCTTACATAGCTCTTTTTGAAAAGATTAATTTCATGTTCTTCTCTTGATAACTATTGCACATACATATTAAATTATCTATGATGATTTAAGTTAATCAGGTACCTCAGCAGAGCTATGTTTCTGCTCTTGAAGTACTTGTTCATAATCTGGCTTCGACTTTCCAAATGATCCTCCTATTTGTTAAAGCAATGAATGACTTTCTGCAAAGCCAATTTTTCAAAGCTCTGCAGTAGTTAAATAATTTAATGAAGAACAGGATCACTGACATTAGTAGCTATTTCACAAGTAGCAGTTATCTGAACCCGAGAAACACTTTAATAGCACTTCCCAATTTCTGATAAATTGGCAGCTATTATGCAGGAGACCACAGGCTACTGACATACTGTTTTTTTTGGCAACTCCAATGCATAAGAACATACATGATGGACATCACCAGTAGCTTCTTTAATATTCCTCAGTAATTACCACCACAATGGAAAAAAGAAACCTAATACATCTGTGCTAAGTTGGAAGGGGCTTTTTCATTCAAAGTAGAGGCAGTCTAGCTTAAGCTCCACAACCTACAGTGCAAATTACGAAGTACACTGATGAAAAGGATTCCAGTTCAATGGGATCTTGACAAATTTAAGGTACGATACTTATGAATGTAAATCAACAACAAGAAATGGGTATGGAAATATATGTAGACAAAGTAAAACCATTTTCTTTATTTGGACATTTTAGTTCAAATGAGCAGGTCATACACTGCTCCCCACCCCCCCTTCTTACCCTTCCCATAACAATTTAAAGCTGAAAATTCAGACCCTTAGTTATTGTCGCTAACATACAGTCAAGTCACAGATGTGATACTATATAAAACAAAAGAATGATTGATACTGCGACAAACAAGAGACACTGCATCGCAGTGCAAAATTTCTCTGGAAAGAATTCAGAAACCAGATTTACATAGGTTTCTCTACAATAAGGTTATTTAAATATAGCCAAATGGAGAGCAGTAATTACCGCCTGGTGGAGAGCTGTGAGCCAAAGTCCAGCCACCTCTCTGCTTTACCTAATGTAGCAAACAATCACCATAGCCTGGATGACCGGAGTCTAGAGTTATATTATTGTGTGTGTATTAAGTACCATGTTTCAAGGATAATAAACTGCATAAAATTGAGTGTAAAACTGATGGGATATCAGATCTGTAGGAAAGAATCTAGAAAATTAGATCAACAATGGCATAGCACTGTAAATAAGGTCAACTCAAGGTTTGCACTTGAGAGGAACATGATGTAACCCTTCTACTCCCTCCCTCCTGCTTTGGTGAAGGCAGTCTACAATACTGTACCCTGTTCTGAGCATGGCTCATAAGGAAGAATGTGAATCAACTACAGGAACGGAAGAGATCAGCGAGTGTTGTAAGCGGTCTAGAAAGTACAAGTGCAAGGAAAGAATGAACAAACTGGAATTGCTCAGTTTAAAACACAACAAAATAAGATGATGAGTGGAAGCACATAAATTTCTCCAAAGACATAAAAGGCTGATGAATTGAAAATAGGAAAAGCCTCGTTTTATATATAAATAACAAGTAGGCCAAGGATTAAAGACTTAAACTGGAGCAGGAAGACTCAGACAGACTAGAAAAAAAAAAAAAATCTTTTAAGAGAGTTGAGGCACTGAAACATCTCACCCCTGGGAAACTTGGAGTTCACCACTGAAGGTGTCTTGAAGGTCTTTGGAAGAAGATAAACAACAGCAGTATTAGATAGCCTTTAATCTTCCTTCCAACCTTATCATTCAATAACTGTATAAAATGAGCTATATTATAGAGAATTTGAATTTTCAGACTGAATCAAATCAATTTTACTTAAGGTTATGCTTTTCCCACTCGATTCCTCTTCTGGAAATTGAGAGCAAATATTTTTAATTTTACCAATTGATTAAGAGTATTTTCATAAAATCTCACCTTAACTGAATTGTATTAATGGTTATCGATTCCATTCTTTAAAACTTTTTTTCTAAAGAAAAGTAAATGTTACCAATTAATTATAGAGAAATCATACATTTCTGTACCTTCTGATTTCATGACTGCAACAAGCTTTTTTACCATACAGGTAAGTGTATATAATATATGATACAAACGTAAAGCATCAACTGCATTGAGAGTTGTAAGAAAAAATCCTGATAGAAGAAAACTGTCTAAACAACACACTCAAAAAAGACTGTATAGAAAGAATAACGCTTCACCTTTTCCTGTGGTTTTAATTTAAAATTCTTTCTCTGGAAAAATGCTAATGGAAACTTACTGTAACAACAGTAGCACAGCAAGTAACCTACACTGTGTTTTAATGAAATTTACTTCAAAGGAAAATGATAACTTCATAAAGAGTCTGAAAAAAACCCAATTCCTTAAAAGTCTGACGTTGCTCAGAGAGGATTGGACTACCCCACCCCCATTTGAGTATTGAAAGCTATCTGGAAATTAGAACAAAATTGAATTTAAACCCAGCTAAAACAGATCAAACATACCGACACATCATCCTTTTTTCCAAGTACATCTATCTAGTCATATAACAGAGTTCCAAGAGCTTAGAAAAGGTTGACAGTCATTTTTTAACTAAATCTATACTAAGCTAAGTGTTTCTGAATTCATCTAACTTTTATTACATCAAATTCTGAAAGGCTGAACATAAACATGAAGTTTAAATAGCTTTCAAGAACCGTTTTTTTTCCTGTGTGCTTATTGTCATCTAAAAGAGTCCAAGTGCAATATATCAGCACAACTTATTTTGAAATGCGTTCCAAGAGAAACTAGGAAGAAGAGTATGAAAATATGTAATTTATATTGACTTCCTATCTGAATAATGGAGCTCTGTAGCATACTTTTAGTTCAATCAATACAAATTTAAACGTGAATGTAACATTTAGTCTTTGGGAAATAAGTAATGTAACAGTACACATGCCAGAACAGCAATATGCAAACTAGATGAAAACAAGAGACATGAGAAGTGAAGAAACTCTGAAGGAGAAAAACAACACTTAAAACGCTCATGAAATGAAGAGAACATAAGCAGAAATAGGGGAAAACAGGGAAACTAAGAGAAAGACATTGAAAGAGACATTGAAAGAGTCAATTTATTTCTATACACTTATTCCATAATTTATTTCTCCAGTAATTCATTAGATTCCTCTGACAAACACACTATTTGATTCTGATATGCCATCCAAAAAAAAAAAAACCAAAAAACCAAAACACATACATTACTACATTTTCAGCATCTGTATTCCATTGGTTTTCTGATGGACCCTCAAGTAAACATTTTTACAATATTTCGAAAAAGTCAAGTGCTGCATACTAACTTTACAGGCTATTGCTGTATGCTAGTGAAATGTTTGAATGTATATAGGAAAGTGCTATTTTAGATAGGAAAAAAAAATGTACGGAAGGGTAAAGTAATCATTTTCCTCTGAGTATTTTTTTTCTCCTGGAAAAATGATTATTAGTTACTCCTCTAATATAATACACGTGTACTCCCAGTTCAAGGCATTTTAGATCACTATGGTTCTTCTAAGAATTGCTTTATACCAACTGGAATTATTGAAGTAGTAGTTTGGCATTTGGGTCCCTGTTTGTCTTCACAAGATCACTTTTAACTCCACTTGTAATAGTACTTGAAAGCTTTTTTCTTTATTTTATGTTCATTTAAGATCTCATGCACAGAGACATAAATGCTATGGACATTTTGAGGCTAACAGATTCACAAATGAGACCAAAATTGTGCTCACTTTACTGAAATGCTGTTCACACAGCAACTAAAGTATCAGAGGATCTGTCCTTCAGAGTATTTACCATGCCCTTCAAATGAAATAAACTGAAAGGGAACAAGATTATTAGTTGCTATAAAAGCATATGTCATATTTAATATGTAATAATTTTGTTGCAGCTTTGATGGCATTAGGCTTTACAGTTTGTAAAGAAAGATATAATTTTTTTGTTATACCAGGTCATCACTTGTCTCAGATCACGTATTTAATATTATATTCTTTGAGAAAAATCTGTAAAAATCAATTTGTGAATTCAGACTCTCACCAACATCAGTGAATGTTAAGCAGAAATATCTCATGGGCTTAAGACAACCTGAGAAACTATAGTCTCACTTTCCTTACTTTTCAGCAGAATTGTGTATATTTCACTATGGGGTTTTCTCCTTTAGCTTCCAAATACCAGGCTTTTCTGTTTGTTTTAATTTAAAGTTTGTTTCAAGCTTTCCTCCACCAAGTTACTAACACTGTCTTAAATGATTTTAGTCCTTTCATTTCTGTAATGCAGTAAGAATTTACTTTTTGAATTATTGGAAATATCCATAATAAAACTAATTAGATTAATCAAAAGTCAGTAAGACTAAAGAGGTGTCATAAAATAAGAATTTTAACAGCAATAAAAACAAGGTTCAGATATATAGAACCACAGTAATATGCCAATGAAACACGATTTGAGAGTCTACTGTCAGCATAGCTCAGCAACCTCTGAACAACTTATGTTGTAGTATTAACTCTTTACATAGGATAGTAACAATTACGGAGACACAAAGACTCAATTTGGAGATCATTCCGGAAACTATAACAGCAGTTATTCCAGCCTGATGAAAGTAAACCCCATTCTTAATGAATTTAAAAAAAAAAAAAAAAGTTCAAAGGCAAGAAGTGTAACTGAAGAGAACATTCACGACATAAAACTAATTTTTAATTATTCATTATTTCAGCAAAACCCCACATTATTTTTATTACATGCAAAAGATATTTTGGCCGTAAGTAAATTATGGGCTTCATTACTACTGTAACAAAGTTCTAAAATGTTTTGTAAATTAGGTCAAACATTGTCAAAGCAGAAAAATTAGAGTTCGCCTTTTCTGAAATATGGACCACTAAGTTGGCTACTGACTACTAAATTATTTCAGGTGACTAGCAATAGGAAACTTGGGCTTTTATTTCTAGCTTACTCATTCAGGGTTTTTTAATGTGATTCACAGAATCACAGAATGGTTGGAGTTGGAAGGGACCATGAAGATCATCCAGTTCCAACCCCCCTGCCATGGGCAGGGACACCTCCCACCAGCCCAGGTTGCTCCAAGCCCCGTCCAACCTGGCCTTGAACCCCTCCAGGGATGGGGCAGCCACAGCTTCTCTGGGCAGCCTGCCCCAGGGGCTCATCCCCCTCACAGTAAAGAATTTCTTTCTAATATCTAATCTAAATCTAAATCTACCCTCTTTCAGTTTAAAACCGTTACCCCTCATCTTATCGCTACACTCCCTGATAAAAAGTCCCTCTTCACCTTTCCTGTAGGAAAATTCATCTGAGGAAATGCTGATTATCTGGAACAAATCAAGAATATCTTAATCATGATATCTATTGAATTAACAAATATTCAAATAAGTTGGGAGATATTTCTACTTAGAATTCAGAAGATACCATAAAAAAAAAAAGATAATAAAGATTAAAAATATCAAAGAATCCTAAACTGAAATTTTGAAAATCTAGACAGCAAAATCCATGCTATTTTTAACTTCCTACAGGGGAGGTAAAGATGTGATGACAGTTTATATTTCACATACGTGTTTGTATTTTATGCACATATTCACACTGCACTTGAAAAAGACACCTGTGACATAGTTTCTAAATCATGCTTCAGTAAATATCAATAGTGAGCAATGAGGGGAATGCATTCCCCTCTCCCATTTTGGATTATGTTGGTTTTCTTCTAGATTAGTGAGCTGACTGGGCTTACCGATGTCAAAAAAACAAGTACCAGAATGTCGTAGGTGAAAAAATAGCTTAAATTGTGAACACTAACAGGCAGTAGATAATTGACTATATGTGTATGCACGCATGTTCAAAATTAAACTTCTGAACCCTCAAGTAAAACTGATCAATTTCATGATGTCACAGATTGATCCATTTTTCCAAAGTACAAAGAAAACCCCTCATATTCCATATATATACACACACAAGTGGAGCTGCCCTGCATATTAAATATACATGAAAAACCGTATAGAACTTCAAACAACTTAGACATTATTTGGTATTAACATTCTTAGAAAGTCTTATAAGCAAGAACTAACACTGCCATACCCCTTCATCCTGCATCAAGAATAGGGACAGCTTTAATGAGTTCTTCAGATTGATATCAGCCACACACTTAGATAACCCAAGCCTATATTTATTATTTAAAAAAAAAAAAAAAAAGGAAATAACCTCTCACTAAATGGACCTAACAAGTAATAACATCTAGAATATTGAAAAGAGATGGAATTTCAACTTACCAGTGCTGACACAATTTTCTCCATCCTTACTGAGCTTCCAGCCTTCGTAACATGAGCACTTGACAGTATTTTTATGCTGTTCACATACTTGACTACACTTAAGGTGCTTGGTACAGTAATCCAGAATCTCACAAGTTTTGTTGTCTACATTAAGAGTGAATCCTGCAGGGCAGGAGCATACAATTCTTCCTCCAGGAACCACAGAACATTGATGGCTACATCCACCATTGTTAAGTGAACATTCATCTGCAATAACATGGAAAAAAGAAAACAAAAACAAATCAACATTAAGGGCTGAAAGGGCTGTCAGTTATATTGTATATCCTTAAAGTCACCAGGTCTACTAAAAGACACAAAAGGGCCTCTAAAGAAATGCAACTGAGTTTTACATTTGTTAAACAGCTTTCTATATTTATTTTTAAAATTATCATATTTGTCAGTATTCAGCATGGTAGCTTTACTGCAACTTTTCAAGATTTTCGCGTGGCAGATGTACAATGTATATACGTTTTCAGACTTCCATGCATATTATTTCATTCATTAATAATTAAAGAGTGTCCATACAGAGCCAGTCCAAAGACCATTACAGCTCAACCATCTTAAATGGTGACGGAAAGCTGATGTACAGAGAAATAAGCACACTTTCCTAAAGACTTCCCTTGCTTCCAGACACTTAAGCTTTCAGGCAGAAGACTCCCAATTCTTAGTCCTATGTGTCTGTATCACAAGCAACTTGTCAAAGAAACATGGACAAATAAGAAGTAAAAATCAGGATTTCTTTCTCATCCTTTTCCAATAACAGCTACTAGAGAATACTACTTTTGCATTCTCTGTGTCAGTGCTTTCACATTATATTCTGAAGGCAACGGATGATTTGCAAAGTTCTGCTAAAAGAAATGAAGGCTATTTGTGAAACCCTTAAAGCATCTGCATGATAAGTGTGATAATTGTGTCTGTGAGAAATTCCGTGACCTCTGGAGCAAAAAAAAAAAAATAGAACTACTCCTTACCTCACAGTACTACTGATATGCAGGGAATCAATGGGAGGGCCAAACTGGTCCATTGTTGCACTGGAAACAAGGCTTCACTTTATTTCTTAATCTATTTGTGTCTTTTAGTTGTTTTCTTTGATTCTAACAAGTCTCTGAAAGCCTTGCTCACTTGTGATAGGATCCAAAAATCACATCAGTTTTCTACAGAAGAATTATTTCCTTCTCATTTAATAAAAATAAATAAACAAATAAAAGAAGCCACTTTCTACCAGTCCTTTGTTCAGATTTCAAGTTTGTTTTTTTGTGGCTTTTTTTATCATGGCAAAAAAAGAATCAAACTCTAATGTGTCTGACATGCAAACGTGTTGCCCAACATCCCATATTTGCCCTTCAGTTTATGCTTAAGTATGTTTTGAAACTAAATAATTAACATCTGCTGAAATACCTGTTGACCAATAACACAGCATCTAGAAGCTGTAACAACCATTAAAAACCAAGCTTGACCTTATACAATATCCAACAGGATACAGGTGTCATAATGCGCTACTACTAGTAGGAAGATAATTGTCCATACATAGAAATAATATTATAGTATATTATGCCAGAATTTCTTTCCCCTGGAATCTAGGCAGCATGGGATTCATATGTAGCTCTCAGAGGATTTAGGTCTGCAATGTAATCTTAACAAATTCCAGAACACTGAATTTAAGATCATCTCTTACAGCCCAGTCTGCTGACCGCCAGAGCAGGACGGTGCAAAGATCTCTTTGCCATACCCTGCCGCAGCTCTTGCCCAGCCAGTGGACTCTGCCTCCTACGCTAAGCAACTGCGCTCAGCCCACCGCTGGGTCTCCTCCTAAACACAGATCCTAGAGAGTGAAAATGCTTGCAAGCATCTCCAAATGCTTTGTGACAATGCCGGAGATTATAAAACACTTTATGCAAAGCAAGGTCAGTGGGGAGAGGCAAACTGTTGATGTAATAATTACAGAACAATTAATAATTATATAATATGTATTATATATAATATACTATAATTATATAATAATATATTTAATTTTATAAAAATTATAAAATTACCTATGTTTTTCCTGCAAACCACCTTTCACTTTTATCCCTAAACCATCACAATATTTACACTATAGTATTGTAAGTTCTTCTAAAATCCATTCATTTTATCTCTGTGTATATTTTGTGATAATTTTATTAGATTATCTGTTATGCTTCTGTCAGATTTATAAAGTTATTTTTGTACATTTTTTACTGAATACAGTTTTTCTACTTTGTCTGACATGCCATGAAATCCTTTCAACACCCCCATCGGGGAGACACGTTAACTCCTCCTAGTCATCCCAACGTGTTTCTTCCTGAACTCCTACACAGCTACTGAAAGGATTCTATCAACTCAAGCTTCTGTAGTTGGAGAGAACTGCAAATTAGCTCACATCTTTTCATATACACCAGAGCCTTTTAAATTGTTTACCTGCAGGAGTATTTTAAGGGGTTAGGAAATTAAAGACTTACCTAAGGAACTATGTTTTCCCTTATTTGAAGAAAACTAATACTTCGAGCACAAACACAGTATGATTTAAATCAAGTAAAAATCCTCACATAGGCTACGGTGATAAAATTTCAGTAAGGTTAACATGAGAACTGTTTTTCCACCAGCAAGTATTGTGACAGGCAATATCAAGAATAGTCAGGAAAATGTGTCTAAAAGAAGTACCACAAAGATCGCCTTCATCAGATCCATCAGGACAATCTCTTCTCCCATTGCAGAGCTTCTCAGGCTGTAGGCAGATGGAGGTATCATTAGCACAAGGGTATTTTGGTGGTCCACACATATAGCCCTCGCAATTATCCTCATCAGACTGATCCTCACAATCAATATCGCCATCACATAGCCACGCTTTGCTAATGCATCTCCCTTGGAGAAAAGAGACAATAAACACAGGAAATCAGACTGGAAGCAAACTTTAGAAAAAACCTTCAGTAACATTACACAGATTATTTATTTTTTTTATTATTATGTTTTTCTATTAATAGTACTTTCCCTCTTAGATAAGCAGAAAGAAACCAACTTGTACTTATACTCTGGAAGCATCATCTACATCAGTGTTGGCAGTCTAATTTTCCAAACATCAATCCTAATTATTTCTATGCTGAACAGAACTGCATACAGGAAGGACACATCCTCATAATTTGTTAAATATACTAAATTATTCTAAAATGTTTTAGGCTGATTTGGGGTTTTTTTGTTTGTTTGTTTGTTTTTTTTTAATTTTCTGCTTTTCTTCATCTCTCCCTTTATCTTCTACTCCAACAGCTTTCCATATGAGCAATGTTTCAATATATGACTTTCTATTAGCACAAGTCTGAGAAACAAGAATCTTTCTAGGAAGTATACACAATACATTCCCAGATTACGTCAGAAATGATCAGCTTTTAGACAAAATAGCTACAGCAGATGAAACTTCCTATACAATTTCATTTTTATCAAACCAGGGTTTAGATCATTTCCTTCACTACTCAAAAGGGGAAAACAAAAAAACACTTTTGTGCTGACCACCTATGTTTAGAGATACAAGACAGTTTCTTGATTGGGAAACGAGTTATGATCTTTAAAAAAAAACATACAAGTATTAAATTAGAATCACCCAAGTGAGGGATTTTAACAGGTGAAAAACAACCGAGATTGTGAACAGAGCAGTGGGTTGTGTGTGCTCCTGTCCCAAACGATTTTTCAACTCTCAAGCATAAACCTGTGACTCGCTAGCTACAACCAGTAGGGGCTACTTGTGAATTTTGATAACATCTGGACTGAACAGAAGTGGCATGTACTTTTTTCTCCAATTAATAAAGAGACAACAGGTAGAACCATGGGTCAGGAAGCTGATCTTGCACTGTGTTTCTGCCTATAAGCTATTTAGGTAGAGAAAATCATGTTGGAACGGAAAAGAACATCCTGGAACTGCCTGCATCTGTTCACAGCAACACTGGTGGATGCTCAGGGAGTGATTGGTGATGCCCGAGACTGGTACCTGCAAACTGTTGCACAGCATGAACAGACATGACTTTCTGCCCAACCTCCCCAGTTCAGCAGCAACCTTCCCAGTAGGAAACCGAGACTGATTATGACTATGTGGGGGAAGCAAGTGAGTGAGCGTGTGAAGTGATCAGTTAGGGTAAACCACTCATCTTTTTGGTTCTTTAATACACCTTCAGTGTCAAATCTGTGACAGGCCGTCCTTTACTCTATATCGCTCATGACATGGTTCAATATAAAACCACCTCAGAATAGACTCTATGCGATTGTCCACACTATGTAGCAACCGTCCCTAATGGGAATCCTACTGTCTGCCATAATACAGTAGCAGATTTCAATTTCCTTTAAAAGAAATATTTGCTTAAGATTAGCATAATGCTTTTCATTTGATATTTTAGTCTTCTGTTAATGGGAAGGGTGCCGTCGTCCTCACAGAATGGCAATGGGATAGAATACAGCGAAACAAGACCAATGAAAAAAATGTTTCTGCAGCATCTCACAAAGCAAATGTGAGACTGCCTTCACATTTGGGGAAGAAAAGCAAGAAGCGAAACTTAAGGAACATACTACGGTGATTGTGGTTTCAAACAACACAACATGATTTTACCAGTGCAAAATCACCTAGAAAATTTAAATTAGAATGAAAAGCTTTCACCATTTTCTATAGTGGTCAAAGTTCCAAATATTCTACATTTAAAAGAAAGAATTGTACAGACACAGGGAAATGAAGTTGTATGCATTATATATGTGCAGTTTACCAATACATGCAATCACAAGTGTTTCAAAAACTGTCCATATTCATCATTATCTTCAAAAGATGACTGATTTTATATATTATTATAACACAGCAGCAGAGTGAAAGCTAATGAAAAACACCAACATCAAGCAAACTAACCAGATCCCAGAGTAAATTGACGTTGCTTCCAGTAGAGCTCTTAATCTGTTTTTTAATCTTTTCTACATACAGATATTTACAGAGTAAATCATTTTTCCTGCCTTTCTCTTACCTTAATGAAGATATATTTTATAATAAAAGAGTCATCTTCCACTATGATAGCTATGACATGTACTTAAGCAGAATATACTTTCAAGGAATTAATCTTTGCCAAAATTCTAGAGATAGACTTAATTAAGTATTATGACTGTCTTGAAATCATTACTTAAAATTCACTGATATTATTTATTGCCTCCTATTGAAATTGACGTTTTTGGTTTCCTGGAAACTTTATAGTTAAATTCCACCACAAATTAATTGCCTCAATGGCTATGTGTGTTCATTTCCACAGCTATTTTTTGTAACTCAGAAGATAGACGTATAAAGTAGTGAATCAGAAGTTTTGAAGCAACAGGTATGTGGGAAAGCCAGATCCAAATGCTTCTCCAACGCTTTTTATTTCCTACAAATATGAGTAAGTACAACACAATTACCTTTTTATATACTCCGCAGTCTTTGTTGGGATACTGAGCCCCGGAAGCTTTTCAAAAGATTATGTATTAAACTGTAGGAAAACTACTTTGGTGGGGCATTAATTGCGCTCAGCTTCCTCTTACGGTTACTTCTTGCTGCCTAAAGCTGTAATGCCTTCCTAACCTATAGAATGAACTCAGTCTCTTTCCTATCAGAATGAAAGAATGTTCTAATCTGACAGATTTAACAAAATGTTGTGATATACAATGATCTTGCTTGTCTTGTAGAACAAACCTGAGACTTAGACTGGACTACTTTGTTTCAAGAACAAGGTCCTTTCTGGCATTTAAAAGCTTTTTGTAGAAAGCAAATGGTTATAAACGTCTCCTGGATGAGACAGAAGAGAAAAAAATCAGAGCTAAAAGAAGACAGCTGTTAACACAGAAAACAATGATAACACGAACCGCAGATAAAGCCAGTATTGGAATAACATATAGTTTTCTAGTTTACTTGCTTTGGTGGTTTCTTTTAATTTAAATTTTTAATGTCAACTGGATTCACCCTTCCAGTCAGAAATGTCATTATTCTGAACCATCATGTTCAAAAAGGTTATTAAAGTAGTCGTACAAGATGTTCAGCTCTAAAGATCTAAAAGTGAGAGAGGAGACGGAGCCGGGAGGGAACAAGTGGAAGCAACGCTGGTAAATACACCTTATGGCCGATAGCCTTTCCACCCACACTTTGAACTCCTCCATACTTCCCATTCTTATGTTCTAAGTCTTCTCCTCTTCCAAAACTCCTCTCCTGCCATATCTGGCCAAAGTAACCCTTTCCTCCTCATCAGCCCTCACACAATCTGTAGGGCAGCCCTACCAATTACCTCATCATCTTCTTTCTCAAAAACCCTTCATTCCCAGCCTTCCTCACTATTAATATCTCTCCATTCATCTCAACTTGTCCCATGCTTGTATCTTGTTTTACACTCCCCATCCAGACAGCGCTATTGCTGCTGCCCTCTTCCAGTATTACTGAGATGATCATCCCTTGAATTCATTTCCTCTTTATGTACATTCCTGATTTTCCATTCTAAAGAACTCCTACTTCTCCCCTCATCTTTTTTTCCCCCCCTCTAGTATATTATTAACATGAGAAAAAAGAAGTACAAAATAATAGCCCCCAGGGTAGCATCAAAAATGGTAAGATACAAAATTAGCTGCTTCTTGAAATAAATATAAAAAATATTAAGTATGACAAATATACAATGCAGTTCACATCTACTGCTTACGAAACTGACGTATTCATGGCTGTTTTGCACATGTCTTCACAGAAGTACTCGATTATGATCATTAGACTAATTAGATGAATTTTTAAGTGAGATTGCACAGATTCTGCTCTTGGTCCAGTACTAACTGCGAAGTAGGAAGATGAAATAAAAAGGATAGATTTATGTAGTACATAAAACTGAGTTGAAGTACATGCCTGTAATAATTTTTGGAGGACAGAATCAGAATTTAAAGTAGGAAGTTGGATCTTAGTCTAATCTAATTTGAAAGAAGTCTAATCTAATTTAAAAGCAGAAAATAACTGTCTAGAAGTAGCCCAACAATAGTCAATCTCAATCAGGTAGTTTTTGCATCTCATACCCTACTGCTACAAAAACTAGTATATTTTTCATCACACATCACCACGAACAACCATGTGATGTTCTTGAAAAAATTAGAAATGTCATTCTGAACTCTGTTAATTCAACTGCCCTCAAGCATATTGGCTCACTTTGGATACCACAGCTCAAGAACTGCACAGGTTGGACAGGTCCAGTGAGACCAAAAAAAAATACTAAATGTTTAAAACATAACATAAAAAACAGAAGACATGTGAGGGGGAAAAAGAAAAGTATTTATTTATTCAACAAAAGATGTGGTTAAGGAGAAATATGACAGGTCTTTCAATATTCAAAAGATTTTAATATCAGTGAAAAGTTGAATACAACCAAGTAAGCTTGCAGCAAAGTTTCAAATGACTTATTAGGAAAAAAAAAATAAAAAATGTTCAACTATTAGAGGTAAATTACTAAAAGGCTATCTGTATATGTTACAGAACATCCTCTATTGGATATTCTTAAGTGCATATCAGAAAAAGGGCTGGATACGATGGGTTCTTGATACCACCATTACTCTAAGCAGAAAAGTCACCTTTGGCTGAAGGCTGACAAATGCCGTAATGGTAAGATGACACTCATGCCTGTGGCACTGTGACAGATTGACCAGAACCAACAAAAGCTACAGTAGGAAAAAACCCTGTAGCTACTATTTACAGCCATAAAACAAACAAAAAAAGAAGTAAGCTAAAAAGTGGGCAGTATCATTTCACTATTACTGTTCTCACCAACTGCCATTTCCCTCAAAACGTATCGGTTGTCTCATCTCCCCCCATACACACGTTCCTACCCAGACCCATCCTGTTTTGTATTAGAAAATCAGATGTCACCACTTAGCTATCTATAAGGGGAGAATTAGACAGTTTCTCCCTTATCTGAACAATTCTCACAAATGTGGAAGCCAGACAGTATTATTCCTTTGGAGTAATCCACAGGGAATAAGACGTCTATTCTGAAACCTGAAAGGATCATGATAGAAACTCTTTCTCATAAAACCATTATTACTCATTTGTCGTACCATATGAAAGTAAACTGAAATGTACCTAAACTAACATTTGCTTTTGCTGTTTTCTTTTCCAATGCATTACCAACACACCTCCATCGGTTTTGCTCCTTCCAGGACTGATGGAAGGAAAAATAGCGAAAGAAAAAATTATAGATGAAACTCATTACTGATTCCTTAAGTGATGTTGCCACACAACCAACAACCGTGACTGCATCTTCTTTTAAATCAAAGCCATGTACCCTTGAATTTAGCAAGTGTATGATGAAAATATTTTTTTGCTGTATTTATATGTGGCAGCTCGAGAAGTCAAATTTCATCTTTCATCCTGTAAACTGACTGAGATATTGCCCTCCTTATGCACGACTGTAAACACAGGTAAGTGCATAATGAGGCAGCATAGTTTGAGACCTTTTCTCCATTTAAGCACTAGGAAAAATACAGTACAGAATTGTATTTCCTGTATCAGGGTTTCTGTCAGTCTATTTCAGGGAAGGGACCATGCTATTAAAAGTGAATAATCCCGTTTTACTTATTGAAGGTATTTCATTTAACAGCTACTTGTTCAATACACCTTTATGGAAACTGTAAGAACCTCAAAGGAAATGTTTTGTTTAGATGAAATTCAGTATTCATTTTTATTTATCCAGACATTATGATTTCTGCAACTTTAAAATCCAAGTAGTAGCAAACCTTGAAGCATTTCTAAGACATAGTAAATTAGTTTACGTATTAAAAATGAACTCTCTGTTCACACTGTAGATTTGAATAAAGTATCTTACTGTATCCATAGGCGTTCACAAATACTTTTGGACAGAGCTCACATAACTAGACTGCAACTTTTGTCATGCTTAGCATGATAATGCTACGGACACAGTCATTAGAATGGGTTCTTCTTTCCTGTAATAATTATAGTTGCCTAATGGCAGCAATATTACTGCTTATTATATCCTGAACTAAATTTTGCTTTTAGAGTTTATTTTATCTCCAATATTTCATTAAGCTTTGAAGAAATTGTAAAAAAGATTAATACATTGCTGACGTATATTAATTTGTTCCTTAGCTAGACTGTCCCTTAAGAAAATATTATTTTGCAAAATATCCTCACGTAAAGATTGTCACATTCTTTTCACATTTTAATGAAATATACTTAGCAAAATTTTATTTTAAACATTCTCAAAGAATGTATTTTTCTTCCCATATTGTTGTTTAAATTCCTAGTGCTGTAGTTCTAATTCTTTGAAGTCTTCTAGTTAATTACCTTATGCCATTTCAATCAACTTACTTGTAGGGCCAAAGATGGAAAACAGAAGAAAATACTTGCACTTTGAAGTACTATTAAATGCTTCATTTAAGTATTTGGTTTGATGTACGTCATACAGAACAGTTTCAGCTTTAAGTAATCTCAAAATCCATCCATTTTTTATTTTAAATCAGAAAACAGGTTAGGAGAAGTATATTAATATTCTTTTCCTGGTTCAAGTACAATAAGTAACATCACTTCAGTAGTATGAGACATTAAAAGCAGTATTCAAATAGTAGAGATGTTCAAATCACACAAACGGACACACGCACACACACTGAGTAAATAAGAGCGAAACATATCAGCAAGCATGTACCTGTACTTTTGCAGGAAAACTTGGTTTTCTCATCACATAGTCGTATAGTTCCATTACAGCCTTTTTCATCACTACCATCTTCACAGTCCTTTTCTCCATCACAGCGCCATAACTCAGGAACACAATTCCCATCAGGACTGCACTGAAATTCCTTCCCATTGCATTTTCCAGGGGGGGGAGTTTCTTAGAAAAATAAGAATTACATAGAAGAATTTTCTCATGTCAGTTTTTTCCATGCCAAGTCTACAATGACTTACAATCCCCCTTCCTAACCAAAGCCAAAATCAGAGTCCCCAAGTATAACACTCAAAACCCACTAATGCTCTCTAAGTCATCGCTCCAACACAAGCTTCACACAAGCTCTTTCTTGTCCTGCTCACTCCGTTCACTGCCGCCTCCATTACATGCTCAAGGTAAATATCAATGCATTATTTTTAGCACAGCTTTCAGACAAGAATTAATTTGGAGATGTAAGGAGGACCAAGGCTGATGAAGTTTCCCTGGTGCTTCGCAAGCCCTGCCTCTCACCTTCAAGCTACATTCCCTCCTCCTCATTCATTCTCCTCTTTTTTCCAAGAAGATCCACCTCCTAAGTCACAAAACATGAAAAGTCACATCTTTGCTCTACTGACACAAGAGTTCTGGCCCCAGCACCTGCCTGGCTTGTGCTATTACAGCACTGGCAGACTAGTTGTAGCCTTCCACAGCAATCAACTTCAGTTCAGTGCAGCTATGGAATCAGTCTTGAATGTTACAAAACGTAACTATGGTATATTAATTATTCATCACATACTTACTTCTCTAACTATTTTCTAACTTTTTCAATTTTATTCTTGCCCTCCTTTTCCCAAACTATTACAACTGTATTTCTAGTATTTCAAAATATACTAACAATAACAACATGTACTTTAAAGTAATGATAAACATTCCTGTTTGTACCAAAAAGCATTATTTGAATAAATTCTTATAGGAATGTCTATAAATATATGGTTTATTTTATTATAAGTTGCCTTGTTGTTGTTTTATTTCTAAATAATCTGTATTCTTGCATTCTATCGTAAAGAACGCAGACAAGTTGCTGGCCAAGCGTATATCATGTAGCAGAGCAGAACACAGGAGATGCATGAACTGACAATAACTATGTAAAACAGCGTTATTCCAGAGACATCGGTGTAAATCCCAACATAACATGGTGTTGTACAAGAAGGCAGAGCAGGACTTTAAGCTCTGAAATGGATGCAAACAGGAAGGAAAGTAAGTAGGTTAGATCCAGATCAATTATTTTGATACAACTAAATAATAATAGTAATAATAAATTTTGTAATTATAGAAAAAAAATAAGGACTTTACAGTACTCATGCACAGCATTCTCCTAATTCATCTATTTGTATGAGGTTTGCACAGCTACATCTAGGATATAAACTCATGAGAAAACCAACAAGACTGTATACAATTACTTTGTTGTGGAAAAATCACTATGAGAAATTCTTATCTGATTATTCTTTATCCTTTGCCACAAGCATCCTCCCCTTCTCTCCTCACCCAAATAAATACAATGTATTGCATTTAAATGGGACTGTAGTTTGTTAAAATATCTTTATGCTTCAGTAACACTGTTTTTAAAAAAACAAAACAAAACAACAAAACAGAACTTGGATCACACAGAAATGAGAGTGTTACTGTATAAAAAGAACCAGAAAATATAAATGGTAACTTAAGAAATGCTGCTTACTGCCTCTTTATCTAGGCAGCATGCATCTCTGTAAAAGGAAAAACATCAGGTTTGGCATAATTCAGTAAAATAAAACTACAAAACTTATCTCAGTATAATACCCAGTTTGTTTTCAAATGCATTCTTCTTCTATGCTACACTTCTGAATTATCATATTACACTTGACATATTTTCTATCCCAACCTTTACCAAGGTTAAAAGTGTTTTCTCTTTTTCCGTTGACTGAAGACGGGTCCTCTGTACTTATAATAAACTATTCTCTGTGTATAATGCAGTACTCTCTGTGTTTATAAGTATTAAAATGTGTGAAGAAAAAAAAATGCTAACCTTCCTTGCTGCAGTTTGTTTTGGTTTCATCACTGAAATCTCCACAGTCGTTGTCACCATCACATGCCCAATGACTTGGGATACATCTACCATTATAACATCTGAACTGATCAGCAGAACACGAGTGAATACAGCCTAGTTCATCGCTTCCATCACCACAGTCGTCATCTGCAAACATTTTTTTTATTATTATTTTAAAAGGTAAAAAAATCTGAATCAAAGATGTGAGAAGAAAAAAATATGTCCAGAAAGGCAAGAGAAAAATAACGTGCAATAAATAAAATAGTATGTTTACTGCCACAGGCATATGGAAAAATTATTTCTAATGCAAGTAATTCCTTAACTCTAATTTACCAACAGCACTTGACTGTGTCATTTTGGATAGCCTAACCCATTACACTTATTCAATCACAGACACCAGTAAGCATGAGAAGGCTGTAGATTTTCTTCATTTCTTTAGTCGTGTGTAACTACACAGGCTTCTAAACACAGTGGTTTTACTTTGTTCTCAGTGATTCATTAAGTAAACTTAGACAGTTAAGCATACAAACAAAGAGCTTCATATAAACCCAAATGAAAACCCGATGTCAGAATTTCTTTTCAAATGTGGTTTCCATGTACTTGCAACAGTGCAAGGTGGAGAAAGATGGCAGCATATAAATAAGGGTGGAATGTAGGTTCTCATTACTCTAATGTTGTAGTCATTACAACAATCTTAAGGCAATTCCCATAATTTGATAGTGATCACCAAGGGAGGGAAAAGATAAATACGTCAGGCAAAAACTAAAGGGACTCCTTGCACAGAATTTCAGTAAGCACACTGTGATAATTTGGGGAATCTGTCCATTTACAGCTATGAATTCCTGTCAGCCTCATAAAATTATAGTAATATCAAATGTTACCGTGGATGAAGAACCAACCCAATGTTATTAGGACTGGTATCACATCACTCCCATATCACAAGCTCTGACAGAAGATTTATTTGAACAGCTGTCATTCAAATATGTACTCTTTCAGAGAAAAGACGTAACTACATTGTAAAGTCTTCCTAGCCTTCGCTCTTGAGGGATGCTATTTATTAATTTGAACTTGCCCCAAAACAATAGAAAAATCAGATATTTTGGCTACTGGAACTATTTTGCTTTCTAAAAATAGAAAATATTTTCATAAGCAATAGCTTAGCTTTTTTTTTTTTTTCTTTCAATATTGCAAGTTTACATCACACTTCATTCTACAGAATATACTATGTGTAACTATTACCATATCCACTGCATCATTCCTTATATGAAGCTTATTACTGCTGCTCTCTAGGTCAGGTCAGTAATTTAAAAATGCTATTTTTATTCTCTGACCACTTACAAGCCAAACTAGCAATATCAGGCTCAGAAGAAAAGAGTGAGCATCAAAGTAATATTTATGTAATATCCTCTATATTCATTTCAGATATAGAACACTTGATACTTGCCTGAATCACAAAGCCATTTGCTGCTAATGCATCTTCCATTTTTGCATATAAATTGAGTTAGTGGCTCACACGTTGGGAATTCTGTGAAAGTGTCCAAAAAGAAATAAAAACTATTTAATGTATAACCTCTTTAGTAATATTCTCCCACCTTCCTATATGCATAAATTACACAAGTGTATTGTATCAAACATTTGCACCTGCCAGATACTTCATCTGGAGAGGAAAAAAAGGTGAGACACCAAAAAGAGTGGATAAAAAGTCTTTTAACTGTCAACACTAGTCCAAACCCTGTCCTTCCTCAACATGGACCACTGAAATGCATTATTCTGTGTCTTATAACATGATCCTATATGCACATCAGACCATGGCTGTGTATGCCACTAAGCATGTTAATATTTCCGACTATATTATATATTATGACTATACATTATAGCTTGTCAACTGATACAAACCATATTTTCACCGTGTTTATTTATATGAGAAAGTTCTCCCATTGCAATAACACTGACAGTAAAAGACAGGAAATGGACAACTATAAAATGAGAAGGTTAAGTACAAAGCAAAAGAACAGTCAAGAAATAAAGTTACTGTACACTGACATAATAAAATCCAAAGTAAGTGTCAGTATTTACAATCATTTCCTCCAAGCATTCCAGTAAAAGTACTAGAAAACTGAGACAATATTATTCATAGAGACTCATTGATATTACACAGAGCTAGTTTTTGTAATTGTCTAATATGTTTTTGCATAGAACAATTTGAATCTTCTCAGACTTCTTTTTCTTCTAAAACCAATGACATAGCTAGGAAAGTGGTATGAATACACAAGCATGTTAAACAGTGCTTGCACCCATCCAGTTTGCGAAACGAAAAGATCTACTTTACAAAACCTACCAAATCGTAGGAAACAGTCTGAAAGTCTAACCTGATTCAAAAGGAATAAGGAGGAGCCTAAATTCTCTATGCAGACTATCAAGAGAATAAGACACCTCTCACTAACTGATAGCTAATGCAAACCAAAGATGACAATATGAACAATCTGCCTGAACTGCTACTTAATGGCGTTTGTCCTTCACTGAAGGATTTCGGGTTGAAAGTTCCTACACCGTACATCCTGCATGCAACAAAAAGAAACGTCCAAAATGGTGCATCATCCTATCACCCACATCAAAAGTGCTGAAGATTAGAACAAATTTCAAAGTGTGTTCCTCATTAGGTTGCTCGAGCTATGTTGGGTTGTTCTAGTGTTGTCAAAATTGAGATGACAAAGCTAGACTTGCTAAACTTCACAATGATTTTGAGAATTAGGCCCCATAATTAGTACTGAAAAGTTTTTCTAAACTTTTAAAACATGCCACAAACTTCTCCTTAGGACAAAAATTGAAATAGTCAATGAATTTCTGACTTGAGTTTGCTGTCTCTGTCTCTTGCCATCTTTAGTGCAGAAAATGTTTTTAAGTAAATTCAAAAGTTTTTGGGTTTGTGGTTGTGGAGAACCAATACCAGATGCAATTTTGTCTCGACATTGCTACTGTGACGCCATCTCCTGGGAGGACCATCTTCTTCACGGTTTTGGAAGGTACAACCTCATGTGCCTGCGCAGGGACCAAGGGCGCGAAAAGAGCCAGGAAGAGGCCTGCAGGAGAGCAGTACTTCCCGTCGATCTGCGCATGAGCGAGGTCCCTATAAAAAGGGAGCACGCCCCTTTTGGCGCCCCTTTTTTCTCCGCTTCGTCTCCTCTTTTGTTCCTCCTTGCCTCCCTGCTGTGTGCCACCCCCCCACGGACCCCAGACTCCATGAAGCGTGTAATGATTGAAGACTTCGAACAGAATCTGCAGAAAAACTGTTGAACTCAGAGTGATAGTAGCGAGCTTTCTCCCTCTTATTTTCTCCCTCCTTATTTTCTTCCTTTACCCCCTTTTCTTTTCCTCCCTTTGCCTTCCCTTCACCTTTCCTCTGCGCTTTATTCTTTGTTAAAAGTATTAAGTAAAAGGTTGTATGACATTTGACCGACTTTAGCGTCTTAATCTCGTCCTTGGGATTATTTTTAACAAAACCTTCCCGATACTGGATCAGGACAGTGGTTTTGGGGTTTTTTGGGGTTTTTTTTTAAAGTTTTAGCTTAAAAGAAGTCACACACAAAGCATGAAACCAAACCAGCTGCATCAAATTTAGAGATCACCAAGAACATCCTATGACCTAGTGATTATTCTTTTGCTTCAACACAGAAAAGGGTGGGAAGAAAAGTTAACACTGATGACAACACTTTGTCAATTATTCCCAGAAAGGGTGGTTGGTTTTTTTTTTTTTTAATTAAAAAAAAAAAAAAGCAAGCTGTTTTTCCTCAGGAACACTTACAGTGACAACAAAAATCTGTTCTGAGGCAAATAACGGAGATGTGCAACTATAATGGTACTTAGCTACAATATATGCCTTATGTGCTTCAAGCAAAGCTAAAAGCAATTTTTAATTTGGCTCTTTAGCTCTTGAATAATTCTTCCACAAATTTAACTCGTATATTAAATGCAATTTTCCCCTTTTCCATACATGAATGTCTTCATGACTTTTTTATTTATTTTCATCTGTCCACCCAAGACCTGTATAGAGGGACAGAAACTATTTTAAATGAATTGTGATTACCCTCACCACCACCCATCTCATGATTCACAGTCTTTACAAAGATGTTTTGCAGTATCTCCAGTGTTTGCTTCTCGTAGTCCCAACCTCCACCACCCCCCACAGCTCCCTCTCACATCCTACAGGACAGGCACAACACTTCCATTCATTGCCCCTATGGTCTTCCCAGTACTCCTTTCCTTTCCTGTTTCACAGCAAAGAGATGCACACCCTATTGCTGACTCCCAGCCATCCCTGTGCCTGCCCTGCGGACAAAGAAAGCAAGAAAGGTGCCTGGAGCTCATAGTGAAGTCTCTCCACACTGTAGACACCAAACTCGTTTCTCTCTGCTATCCAGCTGTCTTGTAAAAGCTCTGGGTTTTTTTCAGACTTCTTTCATCCTTCTGTTACTGAGTGTAAATAGTACGACAATGAACTGAGAAACAGATGGACACAAAAAAATTGACCACAAGTCTTGTTTCCTTCAGGAAAGCAGTGGAAAAATAAGGAGGGTCTCTTTTCAAATCTTCTTCAGAAATGTCATGCTTCTTAGTAAATCTGGTTGTATCTTAAGAAAAAAGTATATGCATTGTGATACTGGCATCTTCCCAGTCCTGCTCACCCCAGCTACATGCCAATATAAGTAGGCTGAAATTCTTGAATCAATAGGAGCCAAAAGTTATTCATAGCTCAAGACTGGTGCAGTTAAAAATCAATGGTTTGTAATGGTAACAAAAAGCAAACCATGACTTTACTTTTAATAAAAACTTGCAAATACAAGAAGAATTTTAAACTGTTTCATAGAAGAAAATATATACCACTAAATAGAATAGCTAAATGAATGCCATTAGCGTGCCCATTAGCCATCAAATTATAAGGCAGAATGAAAAATGAAATATTTGACACATTTGCACAACCACAGTGCTCGAGGATAAATAAACAAGATTCTGAAACATGAAACATACGTAAAGCTAGGTCAAAGCAAAAAACAGCAGGTGAAATAAATGCTGATTAAATCATCGGAAGAAATACTCCAGATCAGCCAACAGGATACCAAACAAAACACATGGGAAGAAATTACAAAGATGATATTAACATCTGCATATTGATAAGGTGTCTAAGAACACAAGATGCAGCCAGTCAGATAAACTATTATAGTACCAAGGGCCATGATGTACCACTACACAGAATGTGATCATTCTAGAGATTGCAAAATACAGTGAGTCCACTGGGATCGCCTACTTTCCCCCCGTACACAACAGAACTTGATTTGAAACATGCTAATTAGAAGTCTGCCTTAACAAGATTCTCCTTTTTACTCACATAATGACTTTATTTTGATTTTACTAAATGTTACCTATTTTGAAGTAACTGATCAGATATCAATTACTGTCAACATAAAATGAGCTTTCTTTTTTTCTGGTTTATGTCACTATTATAAGTAGAAAAAGGAAGAAAGTAATAAGAAATAAGGCAAGAGAAAGCAGGTGAATATTCCAGGAAATATAACAACTATTTACCTGTAAAAATCTTGAGAAATCTTGAATGCAGTTATAGAAGAAGGAGATTCTGAGACTCACACATGGACTTAAAAAGTAACAATGTAAACTGAACTAATGGGTCATGAATAATTAAAAATCAAACAAATTTAAGAGATTACAGTTAAACCTAATTTACTGATTGGATCCTACATGCTGTCTTCCATGGATTCTCTGGTAATTGAGGTTCTGGAGATTTATGTTTGTGGAAGACAGGGCATCATGGCGTCAGCCTATGACTTTCATTTATCATTTATGCATTTACTTTCTATTTTTTCCTCACTCTTCACTGCAAGTGCTTCATAGGTACTGAGTTTTGCAGAAAAACTGTTATCAGTAATAGAACTCCAATAACTTTACTGAAAGGGTTTACAGTGGTAAGTAGTTTAAGAGAAGCAAAAAAAAAAAGGTAACGTTTTATCAACTACATTGCTTTCATAGTTTGATTTTGATTAAGAAACAATTTATTTTTATAACAGTGAATCAAGCTAGAACATCAGCTATAACTGAGAAAAATACAGGTCCAACTACTAAGTATCCTAACAGGTACACTTCAGATTTTAATGTTTTTGTGCACAACTGGTCACTTCATGTTTACATGGCCAATGCTACTAAAATAACCAGTCAGCATTCTTTCTTGAAAAGTCTTAATAATTAATTTCAGAAACATATCCTACTATATTGAAACATACTTACTAATTCACATTGGTAATTCAAATATCACAAATATGACTTTGTAAACAGCGAAGACCCTGATACAATATTTTGCAGACAGCTCGTTGACCCTTTTGCTCTCAGACTCACAGCCGTTACCTGTGATCTACCAAACAGATGAGGGCAGTCATGCTAACTTATAAAAACCTTAATTGTTTGGAAGCACCTGATGAGAACAAGCACACCTCTCTGCCATATCTCAGTAAAGCAGCGGTCAGCAGAGTTGCTGATACTCTCTCATGATACAACCACGAATGACTAATTTTTTCTGCAAAATACAACATCAAAACATCCTTCCGTTCAGACTTGAAACAGTCTGATTTTCTTGACATCTAGAATATACTGAAGGGCCCATGTGAAGAGGTATGTGGCCGAGATAAATATCAGTTTCTGAAGGTGACAATATTTGATAACGGGCTGTAAATTAGAAAAGTGTTGACTTATCTACATATTTGGCATTGTAGTTAAAAACTCATTAATAGAAAATGCAGCCTTTACTTTAGGTTTATCTATTAATCAAATAAATTGTATTTGCAATTTCAGAAATAGTATTATCCGTTCATATAAAAATGCCCCTCATACTTCTTCTATCCATAAGTTCATGCGAAAAGAGATCCTCATCACTTCATATAGAATAATTTTACTTTTTTTCCCCAAAAGAAATTTTACTTACCACAGGATGTCATTTCATCGGTTTCATCTCCACAGTCATCCTCCCTGTCACATAGCCATGATGTTGGAATACACCGTCCGTTCCCACAAGAAAATTGGTCAACCTGACACGTTCTTGCTGTCAAGACAAAACACTCCAAAAATGCAAGGGAAATGGACTAAATCTATTAGGTCTCTTGGTGCATGTCTGTATGCAGAAGTTTCAAGTCTGGAGGGCATCTCCTGGCCTGCTGCTCATTTTACCTGATCTGACTAAACATCACTCACCTGCTTTGATTTCAGAGAAAATTGAGGTCTCCTGCAGGACTGTGTTCTACCTCTGCTATGTAGAATTCCTAGTGGTTTCTTCAACATATGAGAATATGAAGTTTGATATGGAATTATACATAACTAGGTGGCAGAAGAGCATTAATGTTTGATAAAATAACATTAGTACTAGTGTTGAAATAAACAAAAATCAAGGCTTAAAAGTGTCTAACTTACAATTGGAACATTAACAAACTGTATTTCCTAACAAACAACGATCTAGTGAGATTCATGTTTACACAGAAAAATGGCATGTGGGTGATGTGCCTGACCTCACTGTTCTCAGAATCTTTGCCTTTGTAAATATGCAACTGTAATGATCCATTAAAGGAAATGATGTATGTCTTTCTTCTGAAGAAATAAGGATTGCTAAAAGAAATCATGCTATGTAACTAAATAAATTACTTTGAGAGCTTATAAACAGTAAAACTTCAATAAAAATCTAACAAAGAAAACTGACATTACTTATAATTTTGTTTATTCAAAATGTGAACCCATAACTACAATGCTAGTGAGTGACACACATTTTAATTCCAAATTTAAGCTTTTGGAGTTCATCTATATGCAATTCCACACTTTAAAAAAAATGACTGAGACATCAGAAACCCCAATAATCAAAAGAATATTCCTTCATTTGCTATTTGCAATTACCATTTCCCTTTTTCTTCATAGAAATAGCCCAATATACAATAGAAGAATAGAAGTTTAAACTATTTCAAAGAAGTGTTTTTTTTTTTTTTTTTTAACGAATGGTGTTTGCCACTGCAGGAACAAAAGGAAAAACAAGAATACAAAATTCAACCCACAGCCAACAGACACAGGGATGCAAAATATTTTCTTTAAATCTGACTCCTATCCTACAAGCAAAACGTTGGGTATCAAAGAATATCAAGATGTATTACAATCCACAATAGTACCTTAGAGGTGATATGGACACTATAGGTCTGCATTTGCACTAGGGGGCTTTTAGCCAAACCACACAAGTAACAAAGTGAACAGGTTATTACACATACGAAAATTTAAATCAAGGGAAATTAGTTCAGGGAATATTTTAATACACAATGTATGCTGTCTGTCACTACATTTCAGTTTAAAACAGTCATCAGCTTATTGATGTCTTGATATTTTGTCCATCAGATATTTAACGACTGTTTAGTGTACTCTGCCGATCAGTACTAAACATCACTTCCACACAAGCAAAGGACAGACTTGGAACTCCATGATTTATTGCAGTGGAATAAGTAAACAATCTTCACTTTGGTATTTCCTAAAAAATCTACTACACAGTTAATAACTTACAAATGAAAACAATTTCAAGCTACCGAGGGGAAATTGAATAGCTAATTATGCTTTTGTCAGCATAAAATAAAATTTACTAGTGACATGGCACTCATCACAGCATGTTAACAAACAAAATTCTAACTGCCAAAAAAGATTTAGCAGGGACAAGTTTGTACCTAAGCAGTACTTTGACAGTCAACCCATAAGGATAGATTAAGTGCTGAATTACTTTGGAAAGCACAGACAAGCACCAAGATTAAGTAAAATATAATTTATATTCCAGCCTTAGTGGCATCAAAATCTGAATTAATTTAAAATGGCAATAATCAGATTACTAGTAGCACACTGGTTCAGCTCAGTTCAGAGCAGTCTTGAACTGTTTATAGAACTGGAATTAGAGAACTTGTATGTGCAACCGAGTAAAATTTTTACCTGCACAGGTTGTATTTGATTCATCTTCATTATTACCACAATCATTAGCTCCATCACAAAGCCACCTCTTGGGTATGCAGCGATTATTTTGGCACTTAAACTGATCATCAGGACAACTATGATTGACTGGGGAGAAAAAAAAGAGAGGTTTTTCCTAAGAAGATAATCAGAGAAAAACAGCTGAAAATAATATATTAAATGGTATTCCTGGTGATGCCGTTAGTATGGTTATTTTGTATATATAATCACCATGATATAAAAATTGTTCAGCAAACCAGTCAATTAAAAAATATTGCCGTACTTTCATCATAAATTAAACAATACATAGCAAAGAATCTCCTATCATAATAGTGTCAATATGGAGAACCTTTTCTATTAAGTGATAAAAGGTAGCAGCATTTTACAATGTTGCTATTTCCTTAAAGAAAAATATCCTCAATCGCATTTTATCAATGTGATGAGGTTTGCAAACTGAAGTACATATAAACAAAACCAAACACCAAAGGGAACAGAGGCAAGTTGCTAAGTGCATATCCAAAATATTATACCACAGCGAGCAGGGGTTTGGGCAGGTTATAAAATGCTTCTAAAATGATGCACATTACTGTCAATGGCCACATACAGATCTGCTGTTTACTTACCATGAAATTGTAGATGTCAAAAAGTGAAATATGCAACACAGTGTAAAACTGACAAAAAAATATGGTATTCAAGAGTGAACAAGGTATCTCACAAAACTGTTTTTGCTAGCTACCAAGTATCATGGGAAGGATGAAATTATGTAAATGCTCTTGGCCTGCTCTTGCAGCTGTAGTAAGTATATATGCTCTGCTTCTTTTATGCTAATAACAGGATCTATTATTAGCAGATCTTTCTAATCTTGATCTACCCAAGAACAGTAAACCATTCACAGTTTTAAATGCTGGCTTAAAAATAATCTCAAGCTATTTTCTACCTACTCAGCCATCCACAGGCTCTTTTTTAAAGTTTAACACATATCTGGAAACAAACGGTATTTAAAATGAAAGGACGTCTTGCAGGCTTATCCTTGACATTTCGGTAGCTTTTATCTTTGACCTTTCTACCTATTCTTCCTATTGAAAACAACACAGAGCGAGTGTCATATCAATAGCATATGAACCCTTCATGAGTGCTTTGTGTGGAGGGTGCAAGAAGAGTGGAAGTAAAGATTAATTAATAATCTGAGCAGAAAGGCATTCCAAGTCTCATAATAGTTATGAAGCAACCTAATTTGAAATGTGACTGGAGAACAAAACAGTTATCATCCATGTAATAAAATTAAAAATGGAAGACTTTTTTTAAAAAAATCTGACTTCAATACTAGACATAGATATTGTTTTAAATAGCAGTTAAGTTTTTGCTCATATGTATTTACTAATGTGTGTGTATTCTATTCATGATTGCAAATATTTCAGACTAACTCAAAAAGAACTATTGAAGTTACTATAGCAACTGCTGAAAAGAGATTACTGTTATCATACTGGCCACTTAAACTATATATCACATGCAGATTTGGGACCAGATTATGATTTCATTTATATCTGTATAAATCCTTTGAGAATTACAAGCTTTGATCAATGAATTGGTCTAAATTACACTAATTTAAATGAGAATCAAGTCAACTCTGCCAAAAGATTTTCTATCTGACTGTCTTTATTAGTTGAGCTTCTTATTTAAGTGTAAGAATCCCTGGTATTCAAATAAAATATGAGTAAGCACTAGAATTCAGAACTGGAAAAATATTTTGAAAAGAATTAGGACTGAAATCTGTAATGACTACTATATGGAGCTATCAAAATACATCAGATATCAAATATATACCAAAATGCAGGAAAAAAATTAAAACTGGCTGTGTAACAGCCATACAGAAAAAGACGTAGGCATTACAGAGGATCACGAGCTCTGTATGTATCAGCAACATCAGGCCAGTGTGACACAGGCAAGATTTACCCAGAGATGTATAAGCAGGACTATCAACCCTCACAAACACATTCTCTCAGCTTCACAAAGGCCTCAGAAGAGGTAGCTATGTCCAGTTTTGAACATCTAACCCCAGGGATCACTTGGCAAAGTTCAGAAAAGAGCAATGAAATCTAAAAACCCCATAATCTACTGGAAAAAAAGAGAACAGATTAGAGTTGTTTCATCTCAAAGAGATAATGAGAGACTATGATAAGAGACACATAGAACAATGCTGCTCAGAAGAGGAATGTATCAGTTCCTCATGTCTACAACTGATAGGGAAAAATGTATTTTCATTTCACTAAAGCAGATTTGGTTTACAGAAATGATCTAATGATAGAAATAGGAAGCATTGTGACAAACTGAGTAAGGAAAGGAATTTTCACTGCTGCAACTCTAATTTTACAGCAGGCTATCTAAGTATCTTCCAAGAATGACACAGACACATAATGGGCATGTTTTCTTTTCTTTTTTTAATGTCAACATCAAGACTTCTCTACAGCCAAAAAACCCCAGTTCTAGTAAAACTGTATTTTTAAAGTGCATCTAATTTAAAACTGGAGGGGGTGTGGGGGTGTGGGGGGCTGGTTGTTGTTGTTGGGTTTGGTTTGGGGTTTTTGGTGGTTTTTTTGTGGCATTTTTCTTTTAAGAAATACATTGCAGAATCACAGAAATGTTTAAGGTTGGAAGGAACCTGTTGAGATCACCTACTCTAATCCCCTGCTCAAGCAGGACCAACTACAGCAGGTTTCCCAGGACCATGTTCATATGAGTTTCAAGTATCTCTATAGATAGAAACTCCACAACCTCTCTGGGCAATCTATTCTAGTGTTTGACTATGCTCACAGTGAAAAAGTGAGTTCTTGTGTTCAGATAAAATTTCATGCTGAAATTCGTGCCCATTACCTTTTGTCCTGTTAGCGAGAAGAGCCTGACTCCCTGTTTATTGCCTCCCATCATGTATTTATAAACACTGGTAAGATCCCTCCAGAGCCTTCTACTCCCTGCAGACTGAACAATCCCAGCTCTCACAACATCTGAGACAGATGTGCCAGTCCCTTAATTATCTTAGTGGTCCTTTTCTGGACTCAGAACTTGACACAGATCTCCAGATATGACCTCATCAGGGCTGAGTAGAGGGGAAGGATCACCTCCCTCAACCTGCTGGGGTTGCTCTTCCTAAAGCAGCCCTCTTTGCCATGAGGTGCATTGCTGGCTAGTGGCCAGCTTGTGGCCCACCAGGACTCCAAGGTCCTTGTCTGCAAAGCTGCTTTCTAGCTGGGTGACATCCAGCATGTACTGATGCCTGGAGTTATTCCTCCCTAGAAGCATTTCTGCTTGCTGAATTTCACCATACTCCTCTCCATCCAATTTTCCAGCCTGTCAAGGCTCCTCTGAATGGCAACACACTCATCTGGTGCATGAGCCACTCCTCCCAGCTTGGTATCATCCATAAACTGCCTAAGTTTGCACTCTGTTCAAGTCATTAATGAAGAGATTACTGGCCCCGGTATAAACCCTGGGGAACGTTGCTGGTGGCAGCTCCAGTTGTGCCACTGACCACAAGCCCCAAGGTCTGGCTATTTAGATAGTTTCCAATCCACCACACTGCCCACTTACCTAACCCATCCTTTGTCAGCTTGTTTATGAGGACATTATGGCAGATAGTGTCAAAAGCCTGACTAAAGTTGCAATAAACTATATCCACTTCTTTTCCCTCTCTTCCAAGCTAGTCATATCATTGTAGAAGGCTATGAGGTTGGCTAAGCATGACTTCCCCTTCATAAATCCATGCTGACTACTCCAAATCACTCTCTTGTCCTTCGTGTCTTTGGAAATGCTTCCAGGACTAATTGCTCCATCACTTTCCTCCCGCTTGAGGGAAGGCTGGCCCTGCTTTATGAAGGTTGGACTAGAGATATTCTGAGGCCCCTTCCAACCTGAATTAGCCTGTGATCCATATAAAAAAGTGCAAGAGTGGGAAACAAAGCAAAAGATACCAACATTTAAAGAATCAGAAGTGATAATGGAAAAAACAAAAGATGACTGCTCTTGTACTATGCTAGGAAATGAGTACGAGTGTCATTTGAAAGAACTATTATTATTATGTGCAGGAAAAGAAGAAAATGAAAGATTTATATGAATGACTCGGGGATTATCACTTTTCTTTGACTCCCCTCAGACTTACATTACTTTGTTTCCCATTTTTAAAATAAAGTGTGAATTGTGGCTTAAAATGTAAAAGCATACATACAGCAAATTTCAGAATGCTCGTCACTGCCATCCAGACAGTCATCATCCCCATCACAGCGCCAGCGATCCTGGATACAGCGCTTATTGTTACACTGAAACTGTTCAGCTTTGCACAACTGCGGTAGCACTTCTCCATGTTTAACTAGGAAAAATAGCCAAGAAGCACATCTATTTTATCAGCTTGATACATACAGAATGCAATATTACCTCCACATAAATAGATATAAATTCTTGTTATCACTCTTCAGAACATTTTTAGTAAACTTTGCATATTTGAGGTAATTCCACCTGAAGCCTGTAGCAGCATGCATATCTGAGTGTATGGTTGAGGTAATACATTTTTAATAAATGGAAGAACTCAGAACGGAATGGCACTCAAACTGTTTTTTAAATTGGTGGTTAGATGATAGTGCAAAAATATCAGTTTATAATATTGCAATGCCTCATCAACAGTGAAAAGAAAATATTCTTACAGACACAGACCAAATTCTGGTGCATGTTAAAGAGCTAGAAAATGATTACTGAAAAGCTGATTCTTGTATCCAAGCAACAACTCAAACACCTGCATTATGCACTGGTACAGACTCGGCAAAGAAGAAAGGATAAAATTCTGCTGAGGTAGAATTAAGTAGCAAGCTACAAGCTTATTGATAAATCCACACGGATACATTTCTCAACATAAGGTTCAGAATCCTTAATGTGTAAATACCACAAATCACTCTGTGACCCTATGAGGAACATCAAAGTCCTTGGAAAGAGCTGGGCAATGAAGTGTGTTGGGCAAAAAGCAGGAAACCTGCTTCATTCAGATTTGAAAGTGTCTAACCTCTCTTCCTAATGCTCACATTCCATCTTACCAGTGAGAAGTCCACCTTCCAGTATTTTCTGCTAAAAAGAAAAATAGTTTTCTTTAGCAACAGTGATGGCTCTGCCAGCCATGCATTTGGGTCAAATTCAAGGTAATTGCAAGCTCAGTAATGTTCATCATGTTATGCAATAATCCTTATACTTTACTCATCTCTACTAGGCTTATTGCTGGAGACCTCTGTAGAGTTTTACACACTACACTTCAAGAAATAGATCAATGAGATTTAAAAAAAAAAAAAAAAAAAGAAAATTTTGAGTAAGTTAAAAATATGGAGTCTAGACTTTTAAAAAATACCTGTATTATCTGTATAATTCTTTCTAACTGAGCATCCCACATTTTATGATTAACACTTTTTCTTTTAATTGGTATTTCAATGAAGGAATCCAAGGAAGAGATGCAAGAAAAAGACATCGAAATTTGCATAGTCTGTGTCAGAACCAATTATACACAAATATATCTGCTTGACATATTTTATGAACAGTTTCAGCGTGAACATTTCCTATGCCAGATTTCAATTTAAGATACTTAGTCCATATAATAATCTGAAACCAGTTTATATAGATTTAATCACAACATTTTCTGGTATTTCGGATATTCTTTAAAAGAGGTCAGTGAAATATTTAAGTGCTTTATTGTATCAGACATACTGAAATATTTTCCAACGCATTTTATCCTCAAATATTGTGTACTTACTATTTTGTATTTTTTGAAAAAAATCTTCATATTTAATAAACTGTCTTCAATTAGAATCTTTATTCGAGGAGTATTTCTTTGTATTACAGAACCGCAAAAAGACTCTAGGAGACCACACTTCCTCAGTTTATTTTCAGGTTTGACTTGATGCCTTAACAGTAGTATCAACTCACATATTCTTTAAAAAACTTACCCATGCAGGTTGTACTATTTTCCTCCAAAAGCTGATTATCAGCACAGGCACAAACTCTGCCTCCAGGAATGGCTAAACAAAGAGTGCTGCAGCCTCCATTATTAACACGACATGCATTATCACCTGTGAAAATAAAAACACAACTTTAAAACTAGCCATGCTAGAACTAAAAGATGGTGTTTTTTTAGAACGTATGCACATGAAGAATTGTTTACAATTATTTTCCTCTTGTTTTAGGGATTCATTATTCTCATAGTTTGGTTACTACAGGTTATAATATTTAAACAATTTTAGTTACAGGTTGCAATAACCTGTAAGAATAGAAAAAAACAACTACACCATCAGCTCACAGCATTCTAACTCACTTTTTTTTATGAGGGGAACAAATATTACAACATATTTAATATGACACAGCTACATGTACATAGTAGTTTTAAGAAATGGTATATAAAGGAATGTTCTGAAGTATATTGCCATTTGCACATGCTAAAACAATGTGACTACAAATGCATGCTAAGAAAAAAGAGAAAGGAAACAGAAATTAAAAGTATAATGATATCTATGGCAGAGAGAATACAAGGAGGATATTCCACTACTCTTTTCTCAACACATCTGCTATTTCTCTGCCTTCTTTTTCTCTGTTACTGTTTCTTCCCAAAAGCTGTACGCTGGCTGTTCACATGAAGATACTGACAGCTGTCAGGTGTTTTAATCATCTACCAAGGACTGCTGCATCCTCACTACCTCATTCCTTAGGGCAAGCAGACTTAAAACCAAAGCCCACTGAAGCAAATGTTATGATTTCTGTTTGTGTCACTTTGGTCACGACCAAATTGCTTTGATACGAAATGCTGAGGACATTCAGATTCTCATGATCAAAGCTCTGTTAATTTCAAGTGTTGATGATACCTGACTACAAACTGGCAAGCTATAAACCTTCATGTCTGCCAAAACTTTAAATTAAAACTACTTTTTTTCATCTTCCTGTCCTAGTAAAAGGAAGGTGTTTCTTCCTCTGCTCCTCATTTTTAGGTGTACAAAGCATTCATCAACTTCCCGGGTTTAAATAGACTACACACAATTCCCTCTCCTTAAAGCACCACCTATTCTCTTTTAACAGAAAATGTAATATTAAGTTCTCACAGAGGTAGCTGCAGACAAGCGTATTAAACTGCCCTGTCAGAGCCATAGCTGCATGTGTAGTGAAACATTTTAAAATTATCATTTATTCTATATATGCACATTTATTTTATATAGCCAGCAAATAATTTAAGATTTTGAAAATTTTCAAATTTTAAGATGTGCCTCAACAGGTCTTATAATACAGACCTTGAACATTTCATAACAGTCTATTTGTAGACTTTTTTCTGACCTACCATACATCACTTTTTAGGAGCCGATGTGTCTACAGTCCATTAATATCCCACTGCACTTTCAAATAAATTTCTGTAAAGGAATTAATGCAGAATGCTGTGGGAAGCAACTGTGGTCATTGTAATTTCATTGGGCAGGGTGTGAGGGAGATGGCAAGAACATGGATGTAGAAACAGGGAAAACTGCAAGTCTCTATGAAGTGTGAGGGCTGGATCACAATTTTAGATAGAGCATTTCGAACTTGGACTGCGTACTTAAAATACTTCATTGGATCTTGACTTCATGTTTTAGACTATGACCTAAAACTTTGTACAAAAATCGTCTCCATTACTACGCCTATCCTCACCAAACCCCAAATATGAAAAACAAGTAAGAGTAAGAGATGTATTTGCATTTAAATCTTGGAAAACCTCAGGTACAACACCGCCTCAGAAAAAGTAGCCTTGAAGCTTTGTACATCTTTACAGGGCCACCCATTATACAAATCAAAGAATGTCAGTAAAACAAACATTTAAGAAGATATAAGAAGCTGCCAAAACAAACAAACCAAAATATAATCTTCAAAAGTGAATCCAAAATTATAGAACACAAGTCAAGGAAATTTGCAGTGATTTAATTAAAGAATATACATGAATTTGCCAGATCACTACAAAAGAATAAGGCTGTAGGAAAAAAAAGACTATTTAAGACAAATATAGAAAACACTTTGAAAACCCACGATGATTCTAAAGCCCAATGCAAGCTTAAAATAAAGAAAATCAAAATTAAAACACTAGATCAAAGTCAACTGGTCTGTCTTGAAGATGAAAAGTTCCTACTTAACCTCATAATTGTGATGACAAACTACAGCGCAGTAGATTACGTGCTAAGTAAGTGATAAAAGAGAGGATGATGACAATGAAAATACAAGTACCAAGAGTTAAGGCAACAAGATCCTAGATAAAAAGGTTTATAAAGTGAGCTTTATGGAAGTCCTAAACTTGAAGGTGCAATGAGACCTTCCGTCCCACCAGTCTCGCTGAAGAGACTCCTAGGCTAAAATGTCTCCTGAAATGCAGTACAACAATCAGGTTAAGTCTCTTCAAATTTTCTCAACTGCTGTTCATAACAGCTATTTTATACGGGCGTTCATAAAATATTCCCAAAATTTAAAAACTAATTTCAAACTTATTATCATATTTTTCATATTTTGCCAGCTTTTAAAACAGCTGCTGCCCTGTTACTTGCATATGATTAAATTAGGCTGATTCAATTTTAATTTGCTAAAAAATTAGGCCAGAGCTAAAACAACAACATACTTGCATCTCAGTCATTGTTCTGAGAAAAAACCCCACCACATTATGGCAACCATATATATCTGCTTAATCTTCTCATTTAAAAGATATACTGAAGTATTTATTGATGCTTAGTAATCATTGTACTTCTGTGTTTTCATGAATATTCATTTATGTTTCTACCTTCCCATAAACCCAACCTCAAGTACTGCTAAAGCTGTGTAAGTCTACTTTTAGGATCATACTACACATATGAAGATCAGCAGTGTGGGGCTCAAGCAGCTCTTCCTTGCAATCTGAGAAGTTAAAAGATCAACTGCTTTCCAAAAAGGCTATTTTAACTGCTGTATATGGACTTACACAAGAATTAGTTACATATCAATAGCAATCTCCCCTTTCATAGCAGTGGAAATACCCGCAGGCCTTGGCAGGTTCACATGCTGACTGTAAAACCAACTCATATGATTACTATGCTTCCTGCCACCTCCCCATTTTTTAAGGTGTTCCTGATTCATAGAGATGCAAAGACTATGCCCAAGAAAGTAAGATGAATTCTAATCTCTGAACGCAAGAAAAAAACCCACATTCCTCTGCAAGAGAATCATGCCTCATGAGATACAAAGACAGTGAAAAACACCTCTTCTTAAGGAGATACCAAAAGCAGCTTAATGTCACTACCCATAGTATGAAGGAAAACAGGATTGGCACAGTCAAGTATTCTGTAAAAGGCCGCCTAATAAAAATGCCAGTCTCAATTCAAATATGCCAAAACAAATTGACATGGTTTCTGCTTGTGTAGACAGTGACAATAACAGCAGCATCAAAACAGTAACCTCAAAATATCAGAGCCAAATATTTTCTAAGGTACGCACTCATAAGCTATAAAATATAACTCATACCATAAAATGAAGTACTATGGTTTTCTCTGTACCACATGTTTCAGCCTTGATCTTGCTCTTTTAGGAGAAACACACCAATAAAAAAAAAAAAAAAAGGCAAAAAAGGAAAAAAAAAAGCTCCATTTTCTTTAAAATAAATGCTTATGCCCCTTTGGGAACAATGCAAGATCAACCTCGCTGAGCATGACAAAAGTGGAAGATCCTAAAGGCTGCAGTTAGCTTACAAAATTCCAATCGCAATTTCAAACAAAGAATGCATTAATGAGCCAAATCCTCTTTCTCAAGATTTAAGCTCATTCAGCTAAAAATGTCCAAGAGGAAATATTTTAGTCTGTGTCTCTGGTGTTAGCATATTTTGAAGCTAATAGCAACTGCATTCTTTTTTAAATTTCCCTTTTTTCCTAAAAACAAAGAAACTTTCTGAGTACCAGCTAAAGCAGCAGAAGTACTGAGTATTTACAGCAATCACCACATCCTCTCTTAGCAGACACAGTTCAAAGTATTCTGAAATTTGGCCAACTTGATAGTAGATTTGCGGGCATATTTTGCCCTTAAAAAAAAACCCCAAACACACCATGTTTTTACATTACACTGGAAATAAGAGAGAGTCCCTGAAAAGCCTCTGTGATAGGAGACGAACTGTTACAGTGACCTTGACGTAGCACAGTACTACTCATACTACAGTTTCATTTAGGTATTGAAAATGTAGATGTTACAATATCAGAAAGGAGAAACTTGCAGCATTGCCTCCATACTTATAAAACCAATTACAAGTTGGCTGTCTGCACCTCAGCTCTCCGTAATCAAGTATTAATCTCAACGGCTTCCCCTAAAAAAGCCTAGCAGGACATCTAAAAACATTACAGCAGGAAAGGGAAGACTTCACATTAAGCTGTGGTAAAGAAAATCACTAAGATTTTCAGTAGGGCCTCAGATGGTTAAGTGAATGATGAAGTGACTAGATGGGTGGATGAGGGGAGGGCAGTGGATGTTGTCTACCCTGACTTTGGCAAGGCTTTCGACACTGTCTCCCACATCATCCTCACAGGCAAGTTTAGGAAGTGTGGGTTAGATGAATGGACAGTGAGGTGGATTGAGAACTGGCTGACAGCTCAGAGGGTTGTGGTTAGTGGTGCAGAGTCTAGTTGGAGGTCAGTAACAAGTGGTGTCCCTCAGGGGTCAGTACTGGGTCCAGTCCTGTTCAATATATTCATCGATGATCTGGATGAAGGGATAGAGTGTACCATCAGCAAGTTTGCTGATGACACAAAACTGGGAGGAGTGGCTGACACGCCAGAAGGCTGTGCTGCCATACAGCGTGACCTGGACAGGCTGGAGAGTTGGGCAGAGAGAAACCTTATGAAATTCAACAAGGGTAAGTGTAGGGTGCTGCATCTGGGGAGGAATAACCCCATGCACCAGTACAGGTTGGGGGCTGACCTCCTGGAGAGCAGCTCTGTGGAGAGGGACCTGGGAGTCCTGGTGGACAACAGGATGGCCATGAGCCAGCAATGTGCCCCGGCGGCCAAGAAGGCAAATGGCATTCTGGGGTGCATCAAGAAGAGTGTGGCCA